GGGGAGTGGGGGAGTAGGGGGAAACTGGTCCCAGAAGAAGTAGGAGAAACTAAAACAAGGATATATTTATGAGAAAAGGATCTATTTTCAATCAAAGAAAAAGGGAAGAAAAAGAAACCATTATCATTGAGAACCTGAAGTCTGGAAGTATTTTCTCAGATTCAGCACACAGAATCAATTGTGCAGAGGTCAAACTGGTAATTTGGGTCTCCCAGGTGGTACTAGTTTTAAAGGCATGGAGGTATCATGGAGAAAAACTGAGGCTTGGCACTGTGAAAGGGCAGGAGAAGCCACTAGCAAAGGTACAGTATTAGTGGCAGTGAAAACCCCAGGATTGAAGAAATTGTGGAGAGCAGCTGAGACTTGGGGCACCATGTGACAGAGAGCCCAGGAAAGAATATTGTGGAAGGGAAGTGCAGGTTCAGTGGACACCCCAGCATTTTGAATATCCCAGTACAATGGGTGACCACCAAGAATAGCAGCAGGTGTGGAGTAGTGCCAGCCAGAGCCTAAGAGACAAGCTGTGTGTGCTATGGATGGCAGAGCCAGAGAAAAGCTGCTACCATGGCTCTTTTAATCCCAGGGAATTATGAATGGGTCCCAGACATCAAAAAATTAATGCTTTACACTGCTGGAATTTGGTTTTGCTTTGCTTATACCATCTTGCAGTAAGAAACTATGTAACTTAGTTTTACTTTTACAAGATCCCACAGATGAAGGACTTTAAAATTTTAGAGAGAATTTTATCACTTAAAGAGACTTGGGACATTTTAAAGAAACTGAATTTTTAAAGGTTTGAATTTTTAAAGACTATGGGACTTTTAAATTTGGGGATGTTTTATATTGTGATCTTGATATTAGTATGAGACTTTAGGGATGAACAAGAAAGGAAAGTGTACGGTTTAATAAGTGATGTGTTTGTGTGTCAAGTTGACAGGGAGTCAATTGTTCTGGTTGGGTTTTGTCAACTTGACTCAAATCTAGACATCCGAGAAGAGGGAGGCCACAATTGAGAAAATATATCCATAAGAGTGTCCCATAAGCAGGGCTCTGTGGCATTTTCTTAATTGGTGATTGAGGTGGGAGGGCTCTGCTCATTGTAAGTAGTGTCACCTCCAGGCTGGTGGCCCGGGGTGTTCCAGAAAGCAGGCTGAGCAAGCCATGAGGAATAATCAGTAAGCAGCATTCCTCCCATGGCCTCTGCATCAGCCCTGATGATGGGGAATGTTCTTCTGTATATATGTTTCTCTTATTGGTTAATGAATAAAACACTGATTGGCTGATTGGCTGATTGGCCATACAGGAAGTGATATAGCTGGGCAGAATCAGGATATAAGCAGGGACAAACAGGAAATTGTTCTCTTCTCTGTAGAGACGCTTAGCAGTCATGGAGTTAGAGGTTCAGACCCTTATCGAGGCAAGATAAGCCACAGCCTCGTGGCAATATATAAATTGATAGAAATGGGTTAATAGGTAAGACAGAGCTAGCTAATAAGAAGCTCAAGCCATCCCCCATGGAAGGATTCACCTTCCCTGGGGCGCAGAAAGGGGTTGGGATAGGGGGTAGGAAGCAAGGGAGGAGGGGAGGAAGAGGGAACTGGGATTAACATGTAAAAGAAGCTTATTTCTAATTTAAAATTGGTCTAATTACAATCATAAAAATAAAAAAATTTAAAAATGACGCTCAAGCCAAAGGCCAATGGTTTCATGATTAATATAGCATCTGTGTGTTCATTTGGAACTGAAGCAGCAGCAGGGCCTAGCCCAGACAAAAAAAAAACACCCTGCCTCCAGTTTCCTGCCCTGTTTGAGTTCTTGCCTTGATTTCCCTCAGTGATGGGCTGTAATGTGGAAGTGCAAACTGAAATAAGTGCTTTCCTCGCTGACTTGCTTTTGGTTATATTTTTATCACAGGAATAAAAACTTAATGATGACATCGGGATTCTTGTACCTCAGGTTTTTGACAGTGGAAAAGAAGTCAGAACATCCTTGGTCCTTGAACAAATTTTTATCTTAGCACTGCTGAGGGTAGCCTGATTTTCCTGGTCTTTGTGATAGTGAGTCTCTTCTCTTTGTCCTTGGAGTTCTCTATCTGGATATTTTCTTCTTAGGAATCATGTGTGTTGAGTGATGATCATGACATACAGCTTCTGTTCTGGTGACCCTTCTTGATTACCTTTAGTTCTAGCTGATTTGGGCTCCTCTAAGGAGCAGTGGTCCTGCACCAACAGAACCTCAAGTTCTGTTAGCCTTTTTATCTTATTTCTGTTGATTCCTCCTTCACTTTTCTGTCCCCTTCTGTTTGTTTGTTTTTGTTTTTTAAGATGATTTCACTGAGTAGCCCATGCTGCCATTGAACCCATGATCTACTGCCTCTGCCTCCTAAATATTGGTATTCCTGGACTGTGCTATTATATCTAGCTTGGCTCATTTCTTTCTTTTAAAAAATATAATTTGTGTATTTTAGGATTCATTTTTAAGGTGTGTGTGTGTGTGTGTGTGTGTGTGTGTGTGTGTGTTAATGACACATGTGTGGAGGGTGTGAGTACAGGATCTGATGGAGGCCAGAAGAGAGGGTCAAGTCCCCTGGAATTACACTCACAGGTGGTTGTAACGTGCCCAGTATGGGTGTTAGGAACTGAACCTGGGTCCTCTGCAAGAGCAGCAAGCTCTCACCAGCCGAGCCCTCTCTCCAGGCCCTCTGTTCATTTCTCTATGCTCATGACTGCATTCTCAAGCTATAAAGGAACTCACACCCCATCACAGAATTCCTTTATTACATTACTTGGCTTCTTCACTAGCCAACTTCTCATCCAGCTTCTTGCCAAGTTTGCCCTTCTAGGTTCATTTTATTACTTTCTAATTTCATGCAATCCTACTTTTTCAAAAATGAATTACCTGGTCAGTTGATACCTTATGTCTATACTTGAGGCCATATTTTCATACCACTGGAAATGTCTTTTCAATGACCTATGCTGTATGTGTGTGCTAGTCGTCAGGAATTCCCTGAGTTCCCCAACTATTACATGGGTTTTCACAGTGAAAAAGAAAGTGGTTTCTTTTTCCACTTTTTCCATCCATTCCTCTGCTTTCATTTGTATGTTTAGAATCTGTATTTATAGTTTGTAATTTTAATAGTTAGTAGTCCATTCTTCTGGAAAGTATAGAGCCTGAGTCACAAGAAAATTCAATAAAATATAAGACCATCCATATGTCAATTCTAAGTGTTTTTTTCAAAATTACAAAGTAATTTTTCTGCCTTTTAGCCTGAACCAAAATGGTAAATATATGTGTCTGTCTCTATTGACTCAGCAGAGAAATACATTACTCCTGTCTTGTCCCTCCCTCCCTGTGATAGGTGTCATCCTGCCTCCAGGTCCTGCCTGCCACATTAAAGAAGAAGAAGATCACATTCAGAGAAATCCTTACCTAGGACACTTACCTGGGACCTCACCTACAGACTTGGATCTGGAAGTGACTCCTAAGTGCCCCCTCCTCTAGCCCAGTATTCCAACATACTCTATGCTGTCTGCTTTCCTCAAGAATCTACCTCCAGCTAGACTGCCCCCAGATGAGTCCTTTCCACATACCCTGCCCCTACCCTATCACTGATTCCCCCCAGATGTCTTAGCTATGTTCAGGCCAACACCTCCAGAGGCCCCAGACTCCTTCATCCTGACTGTCCTCATGCCCTCTTCCTTCATACACTTGTCCTTAGAAAACAGAAGTTGGCTACAGAAACCCACAGGTTGAGAGCTTCTGGAGGCTCCCAAGAACTTTCCCCTTTACTCATCCTGTGATGCCTATGGCCTTTTACTCAGAATACATATTCTCCCAAAACTTATAGCTCCTTTCAACATCTCTTTCAGTTAGCTAATATGAAGCATAATCATTCTAACATTCCAGTCCATAGATGTAAGGACTGTTAAAGTTTATTTTGCTGTCTTACAAAAAGAAGATGTCTTACCAGGGACTAAGTTGCTGAAATACCATCCACACAGAAAATAGAGGATTGAATCAAACAGAATCATCCAGCAGACCCAGCCAAATGTCATGCCCCCTGGCTCTGGAGCTCGGTACATGTGACTCCACTGGATCCCTGGCCATAGGAGAAAGGACAAAGTTACATGGGCCTATTCTTTTACTTCAGGTTTGATGAAATCGTATACTAGTTCTATGAGAGCCTCATAGAAAAAAAAAAGCAGGTCGATACCAGTAACGCTAACTCTTCATAGGCATCATTAGCTTGTGCAATCTCACCTGTTTCAAAGGGAACGACGAGCAGCCATTAGTGTCACATCCATCTTCAACATTCCAAAACCCTGTGAGTCATTTATATCTAGTTTAACTGACTTAAAGTGGTTTTATATTCACAGACAAAAAGTAAAAGTGTTGTTTAATAAAACTTGAAATTCTATAATACTCTGCTCTAAGAAAGCATGTTAAATAATATATAGAAGGTCTATGGTGGGAAAAATCATTATTTTCTTATGTTTGTAATTCATTCCTGGATTACAATATAAGCTGAGAACATTAATTCTCTTTTACTTCACTGTGGCACTAAGTTAGAATCCAGCTTTGAAAGTTTTAACCACTGTATACTTGCTATCATATGATCTAAAATAATCAACTAATTTAATTGTAACTACTTTTCTTTTACATCTTCTTGGTCCAGTTTTTCTTTGCAGATCAAATGGAGGAAAATGGAGGGGAAAACCATTTTAGATCAAAAGAGCCTTTAACATCCTTTACTGGAAAAGTTGTATAAGTCTAATAGTGCAAAGTGACTGCCCAGAGCAATAACATCCAATGTTGAGTTTTACCTATGTTTTATATTTTCCTTTATTTCCAAAACATAGCCCCAAACCATATGAACATCTAAAAAACATATGTTTTGACTTAAGGACCTTATGATTTTTAAAAAATTGCAATATAAGTAAAACAGGACTGCCATTACATTTTTAAATTAGTTTAAGAGGCTGAAGTTGTAACAAGGTTCTAGGTGCAATCCCCAGCACTGTATAAACCAATGTGATAGTGTATGCCTGTGATCCCAGGATGTGGGAGGTGCTGGCAAGAGGATTCAAAATTCAAGGTCACGTTCATCTATTTAGGGAGTTTAAATCTAACCTGATCTAGGGAACTTGTTTCAAAAAATATTTCAGCCAGAAATATGAGTAAATGTGCACAGAAAATGGAGGTGATAGCTGTGACCCTTTCTTTGCTAATTCAACACAGGACCCAGAAAATATTGAAAGTGAGAGTAGAAGAGGGGGTAAAGGGTTTTCTCAGTTCTACCACAGTCTAGCAGATGGAAGGCATGTGTACACCCCACTCTTGGAAGGATCTGGAAGGTCAGAAGGTTGAGTGTGTACCAAAAGCAAGACCTACACACTAACCTGGATCCACAGCTAGACTTGGGTGGTATCTGCAGCAAGAGATACTGTGATGTGATTTTTCTGACTGTTCTCAGATCCATAACAACTAGGTAAGGGTAAGTTTTCTATCAGCAAAACTGAATATCGAGATCTCTTTCCAAATTTTTCACTTGGTAATAAGACTGTTTGCCAGTTCTTTTGTTTGAAAGCTACATGTTACCAAATCACGAATCTCAGAAAGCCACCTTCTGAAGAGGACATCCTCTTACCTTCCTCCTGTCCTTCGAGAAATGTAATGAAAAAGACTCCTTGTCCGAAGGCTGTGGTTGAGAGCAAGCACTGCAGAAGTTGATGGAGGGAGGAAAAACAGCCATTAGTATTTGATTGTGGCTGCAGAAAACTCATTGCACAGAGTTGGAAGAAGAAACCTCCCAATTCAAAGGTTCTAAGGATAGCATTGCTTCAGACAATGGCTTAAATATCTGAGCCAGAAGGGATTAGCAGTGTCAGCGCATGCTGAAACTCATGCTCACCAGCTTGTATTTAATGCTAAAAGGAATTATTTCATTTCACCAAAGCACTTGAGGTGTCATAAATCCAATGTACTGAATACAGAAACATGTAACACAAAACAGTGGGGAATGAAATAGAGCAATTTACTATTTCTTATTATTAAATGTATGCCTTGGAGCACTCTCTGAATAGAATGATTTGATGTCTATACAATTCTACACTGTAAAAGGAGTGTATTAAAGGAAACTGTCAGTTTACCTTCAGTGGAAGAGGTTCTATGTCAAGAAAGGAAAATCACTAAAAAAGCATCTTATGTTTAAAAGACAGCATACCACTGTTAGAGGCCATCATTATCATTAGCTAGAAAGCATTTGCATATGCAAAACAAATGCTGTATGGACAGATGCCTTAGACTTAAGGATCAATAAGCAAAAATAAGAGCATTTGAGTCTTAGTTTGTGTCATCAGGGACTCTTTGTTTAAGGAGTTTTTGAGCAGGTGATAGCAAGGGTCCACTTTGTGTTACTTATTCTAGGAATAGCTGACTGATTCTATCACAGAATTATTGCATTTAAGTTGCTGCAGGTGTGAAATAAACTAATCAAGATGATGAGAACATTATCAGTGTGGCAGACACTAATTGAATAGAACAATTTATCCTCTGTGTGTATCTGTATTAAGTCTATTCGGCTACCAGAAAACAAAAGCAAAAACAGAACAGCTAGCTGGGCCTGCTGTTGCATGCCTATAATACCTGCTACTTGGGAGCTGAGGTGGGAAAATTTCAAGTTCAAAAACTGTATGGGATATAGAGTGAGTTCAAGGCCAGCTGGAGCAAGTTAATAGAACTCTTTCTCAAAACAAAAAGTTAAACGAAATAGTGGTAGATTACCTGTCTATTATGTTTCAGGGCTTGCATTCAATTCCCAGTGCCAGAAGAGAGGGGACAAAGACAATACTGAATTGTCACTTAACTGAAGTTGGAAGAATTAATTAGGGTATTATACGCGCATTTGCATTATACACTCATCTTTCGGGAATACCATGTTAGAAAGAGGATTTTTTTTAAGTCTTCATGGTATTTTTTAAGAATTTCATATGTGAGTACTATACTTACATAAATTACTCCTCTCTCTCCCATCCAACCCTTCCTGTGTTACCAAAAGCCACTCTAAAATTCATGAACTTTAAAAATTATTGTTACACACACACACATGCACATACATGCATAAATACAACTTAGTGAGTTCATTTACTACTTGGGTTCAGATAATCTATTAGAGATTTCTTTCCATTTCTCAGCAGTCATTAATGGCCTGCCACTCTCCATCTAGGGTGGAGCCTTGTGAGATTTCTTCCAGCTACCTTATCATATCAACTGCTAGTTTCATTTTTTTATGTCTTGTTTAGGTGACCATATTGTTGAAACTTCGCAGTGCAGCTTCCATGTCATATGCAAAGGAAACTATCTCACAGCAGAGCTCCCTGTCACAGATAGAGTGCACCATCTCACTGCAAACTTCCCAAGCCTCTGGTTCTTACAATATTTCCACCCCCTCTTGCCCAATGTTTCCTGAGCCTTAGACATTGCCTTGTAGATTATCTACAAAGGACAGGTCACCCTATGGTCTATGGTTTTGTACATATTGACAAGTTGTATGTTTCCAAATGAACTAGTAATCCATGGTCTTGAAATGTCCCTAAGTCCTTCTCAAAGTGATTTTGATCATATCTCCTAAAGATTGTCATTTCAGGACATGTACTGACTCACTAGAAGAGGGGATGCAATCTGGTATAGATACAACTCTAGCTCTGTCATTGATGTGCTTACCCCTACCATACTGACTGATTTCCTACTATGTGTCAGACACAGTGCCTTCCAGACAACAGTCAAGAAAGAATCTGTTGCTCTCTTCTGCACATTTTATACTACAGACTTGAAAGCACTCTCACTCTTTTTCAGGGCATACATTTCAAATGGATGAGTGATTCTGACATTGCTAACGGAGAGATCTTTCCACTTAATGTGATGTAACTCATGATGCTTCAAGAAAAATGCTTATTTTTAACTTCCAAAATAGCTTCAGAAATCTATTTCTTCCCATGCATGAAACAAAGAGAATCCAAAGTTATATGTTTCCTTCAGGAGGTTGCTGACTTCCCAGAATCCTCAGAGAGACCCCATTACAGAAAACTGACAATTCTTTATGGCCTGCGACTACATCACTGCAAGTCAATGAACCACCACTGTAGTCCTGCATCTGTGGACAGAATACAGAGTAGAGACCTCAGATGTTCCATGTAAGTTAGAAGAAGACAGGCTGCTGGCTGGCTGGGGCTATGTCATGATTAGAGGGTACCTATTGGTTTTACTTTCATTTTTACAGAGTATCTCACTCACCAGAAGGGTCTGAATGGTGAAGCTGAGTTGGTTGTGCAGGACTAGCAGAACCACGTAGGGCAGGAAGCTGATCATGTACCCCAGGCTGGTACACAGGGCTGCTGTATTAGCTTGGTTGAAAAACACACTTAAGAAGTAGCTCAGCATGACAGCTGACACCCCAAAGTCCAGCAAGAAAAGAAAAACAATAAAAGCATCACTATGCATAAAGATGCCACTCATCTTCAGAATGGCAGCCAGAGCCGCACTGCTGAGAGCCAGTGTGGCCATGTTCTCCAGGAACCAGGACAGGAAGTGGATGGCTGGATGCAGCCCCATCATCTGCATGTACTGTGAAAAGAAGAAGCCTGGGTTATCACAGCAGGGGACACGTGAGTAAAAGCAGATGAGATCATGAGCAAGAGAAACACCAGTAAGAAAGTGAACCACTTGTTTTGCCAACCTAACCCAGGAAAGGCATTGAGGAGGTCACTTTCTTCAAGGATGATTTCTCAGAGACCTGACAGCACTGTATTCATGGTGAGAAAACTGAAGCTACACATGAAACAGTGTCACCAGTAAGAACCATGGCAGAACAGGTGTGAACAGATGTCTTAGATTTAGGCTTGGTTGCCACAGTTCCATTACATTTTCTGTTTGGATGGATTTGTTGTGTTTCTCTTAGCTTTTGTTCTCCTGTCTATGTGTGCCAGCTTTGTTTAATAAAGGCAAATGATGATGAAGCAGGAAAATGAGATGAATTCCCTGGCTGAGGTGACTTTTACATGGGCTATAGAATGCACTGTACAAAATAATATGCTTAAATTAATAAAATTAATTTCTCCCCTAGCCTACCATTTGTTCATATACCATGTGGTGATATTTCAGGGATTGGGCCTCACCTCATATGAAAGGAAGTTAAGTAGCTCTGAAGTATGGTCCCTTGCTGGCCACTTAGTAAGTACATTAGAGATCTCAACAATTAGAACCTTCTGTCTCCTGGCCTCTGTGCTCATAGATCAAATCCACTTAGAGGACGAACACAGATACTCTTGAGTAGATGGTTGTAAAGAGGCAAATAATGTGTAGAGTATCAATAGCTGACCATGTGGTTCCTGTATTTCAGTAACTATTCAGTAATCAAACAATGAGTGCCCTTTATTGCTTGCCTTCACTCTTCCTTGAGGAAGAACAGGCTATCACATGTTCACCAGATGCTCTTACACACTCTCATTCTTAAGTGCAGTTGTCTGGTGTTTTCAAATTTTAATAATATTAGAACAAAAATATTAGAATTCTTTGTATAAATCTAAACCAGAAATGAAGGTGGAAAGTGATGTTTTATAAAAATTACCAATGAGCAACAATGGCTTTGTACCTCTAATCTTGGGCAATTATTATGGGATTTCCTTCTGTCTCAATAGGAAATATCAATCATTATTAACAATCTTTGCAACTCCAAAAGAAAACAATGTTCCTGGGAAGGAGACTCAACAAAGGGAAGGAAGAATAAAGAGAGAGACCAGGTGATCTAATTGGAGGGCCACCCCCTAAATCCTCCCCTGTGATCCCAGAGGCAATATCAAAGCCATTTACCTCTTCTATCTGGATCTCTCGCTCATAAACCAGCTTCCGAACCATGCTGGCCACAGATACCATCCAAGTCAACATCATAATCAGTGGAAAAAAGAAGCCAACATTGTTGAGAAACCTGTCAGAGTATAATTAATTCAATCAGTATCCAAGGGCAAGTGGGGTCAGCAGCAAGTAAGGTGAATTGATTCAGGATCATGAATACAATAAGGTCTATGCCTCTATCAGGTTTTGATCAGTTTTTTACAAGTTACAAGTATCCTTAAGAAGCAGTACCTCAAAAGGCCTTTGCAGTTGCAGCTGGCATCTTGATTTACAAGTGTGCAGATACAAAGGACTTCATGCCAAAGACATGGGGCTCAAGGTGACTCAGGTAGCTAATGTTTGACCTCTGACACCTGATTTAGGCAGATCACGTCAAAGATATGAAATAGCCCATTGACTCATGACTATAATTCTTCCAGCTAATTGTGATCATTACATATTTTCAATCAATGCTAGCAACTGATCATAGATAATTATTTATAAAATACATAGAAATTAACAAATTAATGTCTCTCACCCTTCCTATTTCCCCAATTTGTACATTTTTATCTAGTCAACTGGCCTTTCTATCCCCCCCCCCGCGCCACACACACACTCTAACTGGGTTCCATTTCTAAAGTACAATGGAGACATTGAACCTAAGAATAATAGGTATAGAAGAAGGTGAAGAAATACAACTCAAAGGTACAGAAAACATATTCAACAAAATCATAGAAGAAAACTTCCCCAACCTACAGAAGGATATGTCAATGAATGTACAAAAAGCTTACAGAACACCAAACAGAGTGGCCCACAAAAAGAAGTCCCCTCTACACATAATAATCAAAACATCAAACCTACAGAATCAAGAGAAAATATTAAGAGCAGCAAAGGAAAAAAGCCAAGTAACATATAAAGTCAGACCTATCAGAATCACACCTGACTTCTCAATGGAAACTTTGAAAGCCAGAAGGTCCTGGATAGATATCCTACAAACACTAAGGAAGCATGGATGCCAACCAAGACTACTGTACCCAGCAGAACTTTCAATCACTATAGATGGCGAAAACAAGATATTCCATGACAAAACCAGAATTAAACAATACATACCCACAAATCCAGCACTACAGAAAGTTCTGGAAGGAAAACTCCAACCCAACGAACATAACTACACTCACAAAAACATAGGCAATAGATAATCCAATTTTACCAAAAACAAAAAGAAGCAGGAGGGTGAAATACACACACAATGACACCACCAACAATAAATCCAAAACAAACAAGAACCAACAAAGAATGGACATTAATATCCCTAAATGTCAATGGTCTTAACTTACCCATAAAAAGATATAGGCTAACAGAATGGATACGAAGACAGAATCCATC